GTTACTGTTAATTGAAGATCTACCGCCTGTTTGCCACAATGTTTGGGCAGGCTTACTGCCTCATGTTTCCTTTACTTTCTGTATGTATAGCAAAGCAGTATGACTGTTGTTATCCCAGCATCCCCAGGACTCAAGAAGGAGATATATTACATGTAGGCATCTCCATAAATCGCAGAGGAAGGGCCCTCCCACAGAAGCTCCTTTATTTTTTTTCATTTCTCCACTGGTCCCTACACTTCCCTCCCTCCAGCTAGGCCATTTGCCACTGATCACTGGAGAAGTGAAAACCACGGCTTCACAGATACCACAATTTTTGCCTCCCCCCTGCTGACTGGTGGAGGTAGTCCAAACATTTGCAGGTCTCAATGGACCGTGGATTGGTGCAGCCATTATTCAGTGCATACAGCAATCATACAGAGACCTGTTAGCAGAATAAACCATAGGCCTCTAACAGAATAAGCAATCAACCTTGGTGACCAGAAAGCAGACCATATATGACCCAAGCAGAAAAGTTGGGAAACTTATGCATATTAGTTCTAAGCACTCCAGAAGATCAATGGATGGAAAATAATAGATGTAAGTTGGGTACAAGACACCAAAATAGAGCTCAGACTGTCTTGGTAAACCAGTCCTGCTATCTGGGGAGAAGGACACAATAGCAGGTGCAATGTCTTGTTAGACTGGATGTGAATTATATCACCTAAAGATGTTTTAGTATTTGGTGAGAACTAGGATGTGACTGCTGTAAAAATGAGTTTGTTTTGATCAATGTATAAAAAGGGCCTGGGAACTCTGAATATTTTGTACTAGTCTAGGGATGGTTCTATCCTGGTGTCATATCTGACACACAGCTGGACTAGCATCATGCTTTAACAGGGCATAATGTTAATGTTTAGTATTGTTTCTGAACAATAAACTCCAAAGTGTCCTTGTTAGTTAGAACTGAACCTTCTGTTCTCTTTATTACAACTAGCAAGGTCATTAGGAGTAGTGGCATAACTAGGGAAGGGTGACCAGGGCAACCTCCCTATGTGCCAACGGTGGAGGGGGAAGGGGGACAAAAAAAAAAACTAGCTGCAGCTGGCAGCCACACAATCATTATGCCATTTTTTAGATGGAGTAGTATAGCATCACAAACAGTATCCCAGTATAGTGCTCATTGACCATTCAAACGGAAAGAGCCTGATATGACTACTTCACCACTGAGCATACCTGCTAGAGTCCAGTAACATTGACTCTATACTGTTACTCAAAGGGAAGATTTCCTGATGAGTTATCCTGGTAACTAGAGTGAGTTGGACCTAGTAAAAGACTGCCTGAGGGAAGAGAAAGCTACAGACAGAAACTGGAGATCCTACAGTGGGAAACCTTTGTCAGACTTCTCAGGAAGGAATTTTGGAATTTGTGAGGCCCAAGGCTTGGATTTATGAGCACGTCTTGTTTCCAATGTTTGCATCTTACAAATAGAGCCAAACTAAGAAAAGGATAAGTTTGGTTGATGACATCTGTATGTGTGGCTGTCTATGTACATTGTGCTGGACATTCAAAAGAATGGACATTTAATATCAAAACACACATCAAATGCAATAAGAAGAAACCCACCTGGATAAAAAGGGGGGTAGATTTCGTCAACCCCCTATTAGCTTAGATCTGCTGAGTTTCACATAATTTTGAGCCCGTTTCCTGGCAATGCTGCAGGCCATTTGATTCTCTCTCACTAACTGTAAGGAAAGTTAGGGAAATATTTGAGAAAATCTACATTATACACTGGGGGGAGAATAATTAAATATTTTTTGCATTGAGCACTTTTATCTGAATGCAATACAGCTATTTCAGTTTCACACTGTTCTCTTTTCCACTACAACATGCAAAGGCTTTTCATTCCACTTGTATTTCATGTTTGAAGTGGATTATTTTCCTCTGGTTGATAATAGTGTAATTCAGTTAGGCCTTGGAGGTACTTATTTCATTTCTGAAAAGGATATTTTTCATGGAAGGATCAGTTTTAAAAAATGCACCACCTAGAGCCTGTGGAAATTAGATATATTAGAAAGTGCTAAATGGCTAATCACATACAAGCAAGGGGTGAATTAAACCAAGGTAGGATGAAAGCAATACTTTGCCTAACAGCTAGGAGTCATATACCTCAATTTTTGCTAAGGTCTTGATCCTTCACCAGTCTAGCCACTTTATGCCACTTCATTAGGAACAGTGAGGAATTCCCTAAATGCAGGACCAGATCCAAAAGGGGACTGTAGCAGGGTGAGAGGGAAAGGGGGGAGATCAAGCCCACTCACATTCTCCCCTTACCGAGTGAGGTCCATAGCCCATATCAGCTGCTGTCAGCTTCTCCAGAGCCTGGAGTCAATGCTCCCCACTTTTTGGAGCAAGGGCCAGAGCCTGTCCCCATCACTGCTGGCTTTTGCCAGAGTGTTTCCTGCACTGGCACAAAGCCATCCATGAATACTGCACCAGCATGGAGCACAGGCGGAAGCCCTGAGCAAGGAGCAAAGGAAGCCCAGAGGCATGCCCAGCACTCAAGGGCCCAGAAGTCCTGACTGTACTGCAAGCTTTCCCCAATCAAAAAGGCTCTACCCACCTGCAGGAGACTAGAACGCGGCCACACTGGAAGCTCCCAACCCTGACTGGTTGGAGTGCCTTGGAGACTGCTATAAAAGAAGTATGGGAGTGAATGTGAAGGCCCTCCAGATGAGAGACTTGAGGAGCATACACTGGAAACTGGTGAGGATCTTTGAAACACTCCCAATTTGTACTGGGGCACAGATGACTAATTTAAGAAATGGAGGCTTTTGGAGGGAGCATAGGGGTAGAGGAGCTCCTAATACTTCCCCACTACCCTTACTCGAGATGGTGTCCATCTGTGTGGGGAAGGGGCTGCCCTGGGTTACTGTCCAGAGAGGAGAATGTGACTGATACTAGGATGTCAGCGACCACCACAAATGATGGGGTTGATGAAATTTGCCAGAGCTTCCAGCCCAGCAGAACAGGAAGGTCCCATCAAAATAATTCTACCTTTTTTAAGATCAAGTTGTGGCAGGTGAGTCTGAAAGTGGGGCCTCACCTTTCTGTCTGTGGATGCTAACAGGTAAGTCAGCTGGTCTCAACTATGTCCTGTGACAGAGAATAAGGACTAAAATAGGATTTAGGTGAACTTCCAGTTCTAACAAAGGGTGGAAGTGACAATAACAGTCTGTGACATAATAGCCTCTGCAGAAATATGGTCACAGACTCTTCCTCAGCTTGAAGGGATTCAAATCCAGAGCTCCCACCTGCTAACAGAGTGCATTAGCCAGCAGGCTGTAAGCCAAACTGACCAGGGCCCCCTACATTCCTCCTGTTGAAGCTGAATCACTGTGCAGTCAAGAAGGTAAGCATCTTGAAGCCAAAAAGAGAACAAGCAAAAGGAGCCTGACTATACACTACTGGTTAAACCTCTCAGTTGGGGAGGGGAAATCCTGGCTTCTTGTCTCTGCTTCCAGGGATACCTCTATTTTGTTTTAAGTCCTGTGACCATTTGGGGAGCAGGCAGAAGTTATGCTTTTCATGTGACTGGACCACTGAAAGCACTCTACAGCCATGCCGTGACACACATCCTTGGCTGCAGAGCTCTTCTAAAGTGGCCGACTACGCAAAAAATTAACCCTCTGCAAATGAAGTATCAGATGAAGGCACTCTATAGTGCCTGGGGGAAATTGTGTTCCCTAGGGTTAATTTATCATGTGTTTGGGGCTGGGATGATGCAGCCCAGCCCAGCCCACCCTCAGGGCTGTCAGCAGAAAGGGAGTGGGGAGGAGGGAGGTAGTAGTCAACAGTAGTGAGCTGCTGGCTGTGCTTTGCTGGGCCTGAGCTGAAGTGAGGGAGGATGTGGATCAGAGCCCCCCTGCCTCATGCTCCCTCGCCACATCCCCTCAGCTGGGGTACTGGGGGGAGCTGGGCTGGGTTTCAATCCATCTCCCCAGCTCCAGCTCAAGCTGGACAAGCTGGAAGCTCACGCAGGAGCTCACTCACAGCTGTACCTGCAGCTCTTTCCCTCCAGCTTCCTTGAAAAGGAGAGTAGGATGCTGTACATTAGTAACTTGGATGCTGTAGCAGGATGCTGTACTTTAGTGGCTACTCCTGGAATATTTGTTTTTTACATTAAGGGCACTAACAGACACAGATCCCCCTTCCCTTGCCCTTCCCCTCCCCCACTCTAACTCATGGCACTTGACATTAAGCGCCATGAGTTAAAGCACCACCCCTCCTCCTGACCCAACAGATGTTTTCTTGTTAGATTTTGGGGGAGGGAGAATCGAGCCTACCTTGCAGGCGAGCAGCAAGTTGGGGATCCACCTCTCTCCTCAGCCCTGCCCCTGCCCTCCCCCCCCAGCTGTAGGGCTATCAGCAAAAAGGGAGGGGAAATAGGGAGGAGAAAGCTGTGCATGCAGCCCTTCCCCTCCAGTCTCCTTGAAGAGGATTTCTGGAATGCAGCATGTGTTGGAGTCCTCAGACTCTGCAGAAGCACCTTCTTTCAACCCAGATCCATCTGCCCTGCTGTTGTCAGGAGCCAGGGGCTGAGGTCTGTTTTGCACTGTGAGTATGTCATTCCTTTGAGACTAGGTGACATTCTTGCTACCTGGGCAGAACCAAAGGAGTGACATGCTCACAGTGTGAAGCAACCAGCAGCCCCTGGCACCCGACAAAACCAAGGTAGGTGGAACTAGGCTGAAAGCAGGTGCCTCTACAGGCTCTGAGGACTTCAACACATGCTTCATTCCGGAAATCCTCTTCAAGAAGGCTGGAGCAGAAAGGCTGCATGCACAGTTTCCTCCTCCACATTCCCTTCCTGCAGATAGCTCTGCAGCTGGGAGGGGGGACCAGGGTGGGGATAGGGGGTCTCCTCCACTCACTGTTTGTCTGCAGGCAGGCCCAATCTCCCTGCCCCCTCAGAACAACAAGTGAGCATTTGTTGGGGGGGGCAGGGAGGGGAGGAAGTGTTCTAATTCATGGTTTTATGTCAATTGCAATGAGTTAGAGCAGGGAATGCATGTCTGTCAGCACCCTTAATGTAAATCACAAATATTCCCAGGAGCAGGAACAACATCTGATCACTTTTATGCTGCTCAGAGCAACCACTAAGCTACAGCATCATACTTTCCCTTATTCATTGGTGTACTGGGGGGAGGGCCCCAGGAATGAGACCCTTCAGGTGAAGTTTCTCTTCCCTCTCCCTTCCATGTGCATTATTTTCTATATCATCTAGAGATTATATTTAGATGCTTCCCAGAGGACCAGTGATGTATTTTATCCCAGTCAGTGTAGGAATGGACAAAATGGGCTATAGAGAGTGATAGTAATAATGTCCTACTAATGAGCTATAGCCCTTAGATGTTTTTAATTGAAGGTTTTCATGAAAGATAGCTGTATTAATGTAATGATAAGTTCAACACAGGAAAAAAGAGAGCTTCAATTTCCAATTTCCTTCATTGTAAATACTTCCATATAAAACAGAGAGGCCACAATCCTCCTCCTCTTTGAAGTCTGTAGCCAAATTCTCTCTGCTTTCAATGGCATCAAAAGCACAGCCATCAGGAAAACAACCACCAAAGAAGCATTGCCAAAGTCTCTCCAAATTACTAAACAGCCACAGATTGCTCTGAATCCTCTTCACATTGTTCAGTCTCAGATTCTTTTTATATCTCAGCAGAGCTCCACTTATGAAGAAAGGAGCCATTAAGATGCTTTGCTTTTCTAACTCCCCACAGACGCAAATAGGCATCACCACTTGTCTGAACAGGCTTCAAGAGCCTCGCTTATGTTTCATGAGAATCTTGGTAATTAGATAGTGTTGGTGCTGTTCATGAAGTGCTCAGCCCAGCTTCATGACCGCTTTCCTATCTTGTTCAGCAGCTTCCACTTGTTTTGCTCTCACACCAGTCAACAGTACTTATACAAAACAATGTAAGGTGAAAGCCTGGTCAATGGTGAAGCTACCACTGATTTAATCAGGACTGTGATTTCACTCACTCTCCACAGAGCTACAACCATACACATAGTCCTGATTCAAGAGTCTGATTGAGCAGCACTCTTTGCAGAACCCATGGGGGAAGGAAAGATATTTTTCTGCCACCTGTGTTTTTTCTCAGTATTTGGGTATTAGGAACTGGTTGAATCTTTACCACAAGCCAGAGCAGCCTCAATATTGTCTTAGTATTTACTACTTAGTGACAGCCCCTAAGAGATGATTGTGCCAGCTGAGCATGTTGGTTAGAACACAGCAGACCTCTGACTGTGCCAACTTTAGTAGGTTTACTCTGATATATCCCCTTTGCATGGGTACATTGGAACTTAGCAGCATTCAGTCATACTTCGACAAGTCATAGATTCATAGACTCATAGATGCTAGGGGCTGGAAGGGACCTTACAAGATCATCAGGTCCACCATCCAGCACATGGGCAGGAAAGACTGCTGGGGTCAGATGACCCCAGCAAGGTGGGTGTCAAGACACTTTTTGAAGATCACCAGAGTGAGTGACTAGCACCTCTGGGGGGAGCCTGGTCCAGATCCTTGGCACTCGACCTGTAAAGAAGTTTTTCCATATGGAAAGTCCTCAATGGAAGCAGCATAGCACAGTGTTATACTGTGTCTACAAAACCCAGAGATTTGTCAATGATACAGAAAATCCCAGCTGGTTATTTGAACCAGTTTAATATGTCCCTTGCTCTGCTAGAAGAATACAAAGGGGCTGGAATGGGAGCAAAACCCCTGTAAATCAATTATAAGCATATACTACCTTGTTTTTATTGTTGTAGATATTGAGTATGTTACCAAGGATAATTATTAACAATTATGTTATCTAAACCCACTGACATCATAGGAAATCCATCTCAAATGTTGTACTTCATCACCTGTTTTGGCTGGGGGGATACACTGTTACAAGGCCCATGAGTATTGTTTTTCAGTATACTGTCTAAGCTCTATTACCACATGTAATGGTGGACACATGGGATAAGCCTCAACAACTGGGATACAAAGTACTGGAGGAAATATCAATAAAAATTCCTGTTTGGATAAACAAAAATTTTAGATATGGGAGGTTTTTAATAATAAAACCTAGATCTTATGTTCATCAGGGGGCTTAGTATTATTTTCCTTATTTTACTGACAGGGAAACAAGGGCACCAAAAGTATCAATTACTTCTTCCACATTGCTCAACAGAATCAGTGGTAAAGTTAGCATATCTCCCAAGTCTCTGTCCAAGGTACTATCCATGAGGCTACATTAGCCATCCAAGGAAACACAAAGTCCAACCTAGACCATTACAAAGCCCTGTTTATGAAAGGCAACAAAAGCTTAAGAGCTAAGAAAGGAAATTAGAAAAATAAAAATGTCTTCTGCTACCTTGTTTTGTCTGCTGAACAATGGGATGTCAATGAAACAAGGTTGGTGCTGCAAAAAGTAGATCTAATTTGTGTTTTAAACAGTGAGGGAATGAGGTGTTTTACTCATTTAACCCAGCCTTTTCTGGGTCCTAGTTTTGATAGTGATGCCAACTAAAAGGAACATAATTTACCATCATGTTTGCCACACATAGTTACCCTGTCTCCTGTACCATGAGATCCACTGTGACACCACTGAGAGGTGACCTGAGCAGAACAGGACAGAAAGAAGACAGAGAAAAGTCATAGAAGTCATAACTCCACCCCTCCCCACTTTTCTGTATTTTTACTAAACAGTTAAAACATTTTAGGAGCAATTGTTTTGTGCTGAATAAGCAAGGTAAGGTCTCTGTTTGAAACCCTGAACATTGTTTAACTGTTAATACTGTGCTATGACAAGTTCATATTTACATAGTTGATGCTCTGGAACCATGTATTCCATCAGCATTAATATAAGACCTCCTAACAATTTGCACAGGTGCCAAAAACACCTCCCAATTGACTTCAATTAATGCAATTAACTTTAGGGATAGAAGGTTTAGAAATATCAGCCTGTTCTCTATGCTTTGGCTCTGTCTATAAAATTCAGATATTAATTCTTTCTTCAGAAAGGGGATTGAAGGAAACATTCATTCCCATTTGATGTGCACAGAGGGGTGTGCAGATGAAGGCAAAGTTAACCATTTAAAATTACTTCTGCCCTAGAATCACCCCAACAGTCCACCTAAGACCAGGGCCACTTTGTGCTGGGCGCTAGACAGAAATAGAGTCTGTTCTAAACAACTTGCACAGGAAGTATCATTTTATATGTGAGAAACTGAGATAGTCCTTCAGGGAATAACTCAAGGGATCCCACAGTAAGTTTAGAACCAAGTTCTTCCCATTCTTAGGCCAATATCTTGACCACTAATCTACCCGAAGAAGGCTGAGTAACTCAAAGAAGTGGGAATTATGAATGCTGATGGCATGCAGGAATTAAGGTGGATGGCTTGACTTACAAATCTTCACAGCTACCTCAGTGCTATTTTGACTGCACTTTACATCTATATATTGGCATTAAGGAAAGCCCTATGGTCTATAAAGGGCATACCTGCAACCTGTTGCAGTTACACATGAGAAGATAACTCTCCACTTGACTCCAGCAAAATAACATGAGCATTCACGAAGACCTTGTGGATATCTGGCTACTCATGGCCCAGAAAGTGTTCCTTTCTAAGGAACCATAGGAAACCCAAGCTTAATCAGTAGCATTTGCCAATATGTGAAGAAGACTTTCCTCTGAATCTTGCTTTCCTGTCCTAAATATTTTAAAGTACCAGTGTGACAGAGCACATTTATGAAGGGTGCCTAATGGTTGTCTGGGCTCCTGTGTGTTCCATTGTGTGTTCCCCGTAATGGCATTCATTAGTCTATCTGACATAAATACTGTTCTCAGGTTAATATGTTTAACTTAATGAGGCATTTATTTTCATCCTAAAAACTATTTAAGAAGGCATGTTTTCTTCCAATGACTTGAGCTGACGAAGAGATTAATAACAGGCTTGAACAAGCAGACCAAGAAAATGAATCTAACAAACTCTTCTGCCCAGGTTATGGGAGCTGCTTGAATTGATCCAAGCTAGGGCAATCATTTCTGACTGTGTGGAAAAAATAAAATACCTTTTCTTCATTTGCATATCTCCCTACTTTTTCTTTCTGGCTGTCTGTCCCCCCATGCCTCTCTGTCACCTCATAAAATATCTGAACTAAACAGAAATTTAACTTGCTCTAAGACAGCTTTGAATTCAGAGGGTTTCCACTGATATAAATTGTCCTAGCACTATGACGTGCAAGTCTTCCTTCAATAGAGCTAGGTGTATTTATACCAGAGACTAACTCAGGAGAAAAAGAAGACATGGAAATAATCCATTAAGCCATCTAGCTTGTTTTGTGTTGCTGCCAGTGCTGGTTTGCTTCTGGTCTCATCCCCGTTTTAAACACCTCAAAAGATATGGATGATGGCACATTCTTAGTAAAGTTGTTCCATCTAAAGCAGGGCTGCAGCCTCCCAGGCTGCGTGCTTCACAGACTGCACACCATGGGGGCTGCCCTCCTGGGGTGCCCTCCTGCTGTGCAGCCAACTGGCCCCCACCCTTGCTCCCAGCTGTACACGCAGCCTGGTTCCACCCTGACTGCATGTGCAGCCTGGGTTCTTTACCCCTAGCTATGTGCAAAGTGTAGGCAGCACCAACTCTTGCTTAGTCCCCCTTCCACTCTGCTTCCCTACCCCCAGGAGTGGGGCAAGAAGTAGAAACTGGAAAAAGAGGGGGAGACCAAAGCCTCAGGTCATGGTAGCAGCAGGAACAATGACAGGAGTGGTGGCTGTGTGGGAGACTGTGGGCCACATGTTAACCCCTCTTAGATAATGGACCACAGGCCACCAGTTGGACAGCCCTATTGTTAAAGGCTGGATGCCCAAATGCTGTAGCACCACTGACTCCAATGTGGATAAGATGCTCTACACATTCTCAGAAGCTGGCCCAGAGGAAGATTCATAGAACAAAGCATGACCATCACCATGTTATTTAGCTATCAAAGCTGGCTTCTGTTCAGTTATATCTTCCAATATTAACACCATGTGTCCCTGCTTCGTTTTACCTCTGATGCCCCTGTCTGCTTGTCTATGTTAATAAAAAACTCCCCGTTGTGCATAGCTATAACCCTGTAGCAGGGATCTGCCATCTGAGGGTGGCCACGATGCCCTCTGGTAACCCCTTGACTCCTGTTTCCCACTCCAGTGCCTTGGGGTACTTACTCTCCCTGCTTTCTTTCCTGCCATGCCTTGATGTAATTATTCTTAGGGTAAAAGGAAGGCTGCCCCCAGGATCCCAGAGTGAGCCTAGCCTAGCTCCACCTTGCCCCTGGGACACTCAGTTGTGGCCACCCTGTCCCTATTAGTGCCCCCGGGCACCAATTGCTTTATGAGCTGTTTGTGGCCTCCATCTGCCCTGGTAACCACACTCATGTCTTGAAGATGTTACTCTAGATCCACACACCAGTTTCTATTGGTTTCAGTCCTCTTGGCTTTAGGCTGCAGATTTCTCTCACTGTAGACTGCTAGATGAGGCCCACTTCCTCTGTCTTGGCTTCTAAGTCTTACTCCATTTCAGCCCTTGGCCCTTTCAGCTTAGGCTTGTCTCTACCTCACAGTTGGGACTCAGGCCCTGGTGCCTGCAGCTTGGGCCTGCCCTTGATAGGGCTCAGAATCTAGGGTGCCATGCAGGCACCCCTGTGTGGCCTCCTGTCCTCGCCTCCTGCCACCATCTAGTCCTTTGGTTTAAACTACAACACAAAGTATCAGCAGACTGCTCTTAAAGAAACCCAAAGCCCCCCCTAGGCTGTCATACTGCTGCAAAACCCCTCCCCATGCTTGCTGGCTCTCTCAGCCCCTGGGGTACCTGGCCTGCCCTGCAGCTTCTGCCTCTTACCAGCACAGGCTGGTAAGAGCTCTTCACGGAGTTCAGAGCAGCACTAGCCCCTGCAGCAGGAAGCCTGGCTTGTAGCCTCAGAGCCCTGCTTCCTTTCCAGGCAGGTGCTCTCCTAACCAGCCTCAGGCGTGTCCTCCCAAATTGATGGGCAGCTTACTGTGCCTAGGCTGCTGTTCCTCCCTTCCCTCTCACAGCTAACCAGTGTTCAGCTGCCTAGGGCCCTTTCTATTGCAGTTTTTCTCTTAAAATAACAACAGCCCCTGGCTCCCTGTTGCAAGCCCCACTCCCAGGATCTGCCCTCACTCATGCTGCCAAGTGCTGCAGGGGGCTTTAAAGCACAGTAGAAACTAAGTTGTTGTGTGCTTGCACAGTGCTCACCTTGACCCTAATTAAGGTTTGTAGGTTTGAGTATTATAATATCATAATAGCTAGTATTGAATTACTCAGATTCTACATAGAAATAGAAAGACATTTCTGGTTTTTTCCAGGTTGCTTCTATGTACATTCTGCGAATATCATGTTTATATCTCTCTAGGGTTAATTCCAGAAATTGCCTATAATGTCCTAGGACCACCTTTATGCTAAATATTCTGAGTCTGAAAGAGCTTCCTTTAGGACACACACTGGGAACTGACAAATGAATTTATGGATGAAGCACAGAAACTTAAAATAAGACTACACTTTGACTGCCACATCTCCTGCTGTTTTCCTTAGGAGGCCCAGATGTTCTCAAATTATTGCCAAGAATGAAAAGGAGGACCCAAAGCCAAAAGAGATCACAGAGGATCAGCTACAGATGAAGAGGAATGGGCAGAGATAACATAAGGGCTAACAAAACTCTCTCTTAAAATATTAATATACAGGTTTTTTCTCAGGTTCATTGCTCTATTAACAGTGTGAATTTCCTTCAGTGAAAACATCAGTTCATTTGGAAGTAATCGGGCATAGTGGAGCTGCTGTAAACTGTGGACCAATTGCAGCATGCCTTCCAAAAAAGTTTTGGGTAAAATGACTGAAATGAATGTAATTATCTGACTAACATACCAAACCTACAGTTCTTTAATTACCCTTTCTGTTCACTGTTTATAAATGACATTTAGTCCTATGACTAACACTGCACCATTTTATGAAACAGTGTATCTCATATCACTGTTATTAAGACAAATTCTGCTCCATTATCTGGTATGTCATTGTCCTCTATCTAGCAGGTCCCTTGCTGCCAAGAGCAGTCAGGGCGGCCAGCAGATGAGTTCAATGTTTGGACAAGTGGGCTCTATTTCCAACCCTGCTGTAGGATCGGGGCATGGAAGTGTGATAGTCACTTAATTTTATTATATCTTTGTTTCTCCATACATGAAAAAGAAATTAATATCAGACACTGCTATAAAGTGCTTTGAAATCTACAGATAAATCAACTGGCAGCTACTCTCACATGATGATATACCTTCTGATTTTTGCTCCTCCCAGTCTTCTACATTCAGAGATGTTCTCCTAAACTTCACCAAAAGGGATGAATCTTTAGCTAGGGTTGAAATCAAACAGATCCTTAAATCAGAATTGAGGTTAACACTGCAGGATGACTACAATTTTAAATTAAAAGTTGAGATTGTCCTCCCTGCCACCGCCCTGTCTACCCTCAATTTGAAGGCAGCCTTTGACTACCGGTATGGTGGTTCCAAAGAGGATAGAGCTGAGCTGTTCTCAGTGGTGGCAGATGACAGAACAAGGAGCAATGGTCTCAAGATGCAGCAAGGGAAGTTTAGGTTAGATACTAGGAAAAAAACTCTCTCACTAGGAGTGTGATGAAGCACTGGAATGGGTTACCTAGAGATGGTGGAATCTCCGTCTTTGGAGGTTTTTAAGTCCAAGCCTGACAAAACCCTGGCTGGAACGATCTACTGGGGGTGGCCCTGCTTTGAGCAGGGGGTTGGACTGCATGGCCTCCTGAGGTCCCGTCCAACCCTAATGTTCTATGAGTCTGTAAAAGCAGCATATTGAAAACTCAGTTGAAGACTTAGACCAGAGCTTTGCAGTGTTTTGAGTCTGTGAAATGTTTGCTCTGGAAACAGATTTTTCTACAGTTCAACAGGAAATTCCTTATTTGGCACTTGTACTTGTTAAACATATAATTGCTTCTGGAATGCTGTGGGCACTCCAAGCTGCTCTAGGCAGGCTGCCTCTTACCTCCTCAGAGCATTGTTCTACCCCATCCCATCCCCAGGTGCGGCCAATCTCTAATATTTCAGAGAGAAGTTGGGAAAAAGCAAATATGTAACCCAAAAAACATCTAGTCAACTGTACATCAGTTCCCTGAGCCCAGAGACATGTCTTCCTGAGGCCTTGAAATGTCACATTTCATAACAATTGTTGTCCTACTGAACAACCAAAGGTGTTATGAGTGTATTGAGAGCAATGTAGCACAGCCTGTTCTTCTCAAACCCCATAAAAGATAGTGGAGCAAGGTGTTCTGATTTTAATATTCCTAGGCCAGAAAATGGCCATTACAACCATACAGTCCCTCCACTTCCAAAATTCACAGGCTGAAGAATTTCTCCCAGAACACGGATGAAAATATACCTGTAGCCCTAAATATATTTAGGGCCATCACTTCTAAATGTGGCCCTAGGTATTCAGATGACCTCAGTGCCCCTGTCTGCTGCTGTGAAAGTTGTTTCTCTTCATAATTTACTTTGTGCAATTTCCAATCAACAAAAGCCCTCTGAGTGCTAGATATTCTTTTTATTAGCATTACCTGCCATTGCTAATTAGATTTATGAAGGTTTGTTTCTTCTTGGTGATCCTTAAATATCAAGGTTCCATCTCTTTTGGTCCCAAGGCATCTAAGAGGGAACATGTTAGTCAACAGGATGCAATCTGGTGAATTTGAATGCATTTCAAATACTGTAGTGCAGCCAGAAATCCATCTGTCAAGCGAGTGTCTTGGCTCACTATTCAAACTGCATTTTCCAAAAAATATGAGAAATTTAAGACATGGTGTTGATTTTTCAAAGCAAGGATAAAATAAAGCTTCCCCCAATTTCTTGATATATTGCTGGAATTTTTTACCATATTAAAAAAGGAATCAATAAAGCACAAGAAAAAAACATAAATACTATTTTGGCCAGTATATGAATGGAAATGATTTTAACTAGACATAGTTCAGTAGAAGAAAAACCATTTTGACAAACAGTAAGGCTGCCTATACACATGCTCGAGGGTGGTGGTAGATGGTAGGGTGGTGTTTTATTTAGAGTAGTTCCCAGAGAGCCACTCTAATTTAAATGCCTTACCATCATGTGTATTAAGCCCCCACAGGTTTAAAAATGGTTGTGGGGTGCTTTATTTAAACCATATTAGATGAGGTTGAGATAAAGTGCCCCAATGGCCATTTTTAAATCCACAGCAGCTTATACATTTGAAGATAAGGCCATGCACAGCATTCTAATTAAAACACAAACCAGCATGTGTATAGGCAGCCTAACTTTCTGTCCTTTCCTGGTGTCTTCTGCCTCAAGAACTCAATGTATTTCACAGGTGTTTGTGAACTTACACCCAGAGTGCCTATGAGAGTTGCGTATGTGTCTTTAATTTAGCACTGGAAGAGATGGAAGTAAAGTCACATGACATGGCCTGCCTAACAAAAAAAAAAATCTACAAATAAAATCTGGAGGCCTGCTGCTGATCCCTTGCTAAAGTAAATTTGGAAGAACTCTGTTGAAGTCCCTTGCGGCTTCACCAGTGTAGAACTGCTGTACAGCAGCAGTGTATGGATGCATCTGGGAGTTCAGGGTAAGGCATGAGCAATGATTTCTGGTTGCTGCCACCATCATAATTGTGAATATGTAGCTGCCAGCAGTAGCAGCTGTTTTTTGTACCCGCCTTCCTCCTTCCCAAGTCAGTGCCTGGGAAGTTTGCACCTAGTTATGCCACTGCTGTATGGTGAGATCCAAGTTAGGTCCAGTGCCACCTTATTAGTAACACTTGTTTCTCAGATACCAGGTTTGGCTCCTCCCTCAAGCAAATCAGGATCCACCCCAAAATCTTGTGAAGTTCCATAATAAACAGATAAACTTTTCTGCTTGCTTTTGTGTTCATACCTTAATGTTCTTGGCTAGGTGTGGCCAAAAAAATCTTACTGAAGTGGTAGGCTCTGGGAATTTCAATTTTCCAGTTGGATTCTGAAGATGCAAGGTGTTTGGATTATTTCGATAAGCTTTCAAAGTGTGACATTTTTAGCTAATTCTTAGCCAAACAAAATCCAAATTCAAAGTATTTTGTGGTTGGCTGGCTCAATGTTAATTTGTACACTTTGTTTGGTAAGATAGGGCCAGCTCTGCTTCCACCTTCAACTCCCACTGGCTGCATCTACATGCAATGTTGGCTGTGTGGCGGGCCAGTAGGGGGCGCTCCTACGTTGAGCCACCCACCTCCCTGCGCTCGACCACCTTCCAGGCTCCGAGTGCCTCCCTAGGGGTGCCTCACGTCCGGCCAACCCCCTTCCTGGAGCACACTTGCTAGCCTGGGGGTAACATAGCTGCCACCACCCCGAGAAGGGACTCTCTCTCAGCCCTGTGTCCTTGGAGAAACACAGACCTAAAGTCCTACGGGTACTCGACCCAGTACAGGCACTTGGGGCACTTCCCCAAGTCGGGGGCAAAAAGGAAAG